AACACACAAACTGTTAAACTAATTAGAATGTTGAAGTAGATTATTTAATAAATCGACCAAAATAATAATAAGGATGTCAATATCACTTATAGCGGCACCCATTACTTATTTGGTAAAAAACTGACGAAAAAGAAAACTATCTGGGAAGCAGACGTAATGATAAATTACATCCAACTTCAAGAAGTCAAAATAAGGTGCGCAAGCACACATACATTATGTTAAAGAAACAGGGAGCTTCACTTTAGTTTACATTTATCTAATGAAACATGTTATTTTAAATGCTTTTTAAAAAATGGTAAAAGAAATGCAGCTACAGCGTGCAACAGCCAGTTGTTGCTAGATATGTTAAATGGGAGATGCTTTTCGTAAATACCCTCTACATACACATACTACATACACTAATATTATGTGCGTTAGCACTCTATAAGTTAGCAATAAGGTTAAGCTTTACTGTTTACTATAGTGAATTAGTTAATTACACTAATAAATGCATAAACAACAATACCTATATAAAGGAAAGCAATGAAATGAATCTTATACTGTCCGGACATTCAATACGACTCAATTTTCCTCCACGGTGTAAATACTTAAACGATTTGTTAAGAATGAAATGAAATTTACGACCTCGTAATTATTTGCTGTGATAGTTTTACGATTTTATCTAAGTCTGGCTTTCCTAGAACAATTGGAAAGTTATACTTAAACCTTAACTGTTAACTGAAAGCTGATTGTCTACTCGTTCCCTTTGAACAAGCAATTTTTTCTTAAGTTTTTTTAAGAAATCAACTTAATGTGTATCGATATAAACGCTAATTGAATTGACGAATTGAGTCAATTCAATTAGCGTTTATATCGATAGTCTAGGGGTCTGGTAAAGTCAGTATCTACAACGAAAACAGTAGCCACTAATATTTAATTTAGAAAAGTAGGCGTCCTAACTAAGCTACTGCTATGTTTATGTCTTGGCGAACTTAATATTGGTCCTTGATTGTGTGACATGTTGTGTTGTGACGTCTTTTTCAGACTAAGATTCTCGTATTATGCCTAATTAGCATAACTTTTAATTTAATTATTAAGTTTTCGGCTTACTCACGTACTAATTTGACGAGATACTCGACTAGCTATTCAGTAGCAGCGCGACAGTCGCCACGTCGCGTTTCCACGTCATTCTCTTGAATACACTTTTTACACAAGCCATTATTAAAAATCCATATTTTTCATAACGGGAAGGTAACAGACGAAATTCGAGATGTGACCGCGGCGAGGTGGCGAGCGTGCCACAATCCATTACGGCGCGTCGAGCAGTAGGCACGGGCAGGGGCGATCCATCCATTAGCTAATTAGTTGTTCGGTGCCCACCAACGACCCCCTTCTTGCCAGATTGTTACCTTCTTCGCTCGCTAATTGACTTCCATAATGAACACCAGACTTTTTACATTCAATTTAAATATCAGTTTTCGCAACCAAATCATGTCGATGTTGGGGTTAAAAACAAACTCTTTGGCACCTATTCGCTGTTGCTATAAATATCGATGTAGGCATTTATCACACCTTGTACTACAAAATCCTCGATAAAGATGTTATATATCCCTGATTTGTCTCTGAGAATCTACTTTTGTTTACACAACACTTCTTGTATCTCGTATGCAGCACTATGTACAATGACAATTCATACTTTTGTGAACTAATTTTCTCTTTACTTTGTTTGCAATAAATTATTTTAATAACGTAGATTTAACCGACCTTTTTTTACATTCATTTCGATGTGCTACATAGGTTGCGCCTAAAAATATTTAGGTACCATACATACAATCGACGAGTAACAGGCGTAGCTGTGTAAATGAATAATCGATAACAACGGGGCCCTCGTAAAATCACACCTTTTCACAAATACGAAAGTATTTAACCGCAAGCACAATACATTAAATTAAAAAGTTAAACTACCCCCGCAGTCGTAGCATCAGACTATCTTTTAATGAGGTAATGGCGATCCGAGAGGGGTCGCGCGCCCACACGCGACCGACCCCCGCTCTCTAATAATTTCATTATTATAATAAAACGGAGTCAAACGTGTAAACGAGGGCACGTGATTATTGTGACCCTCTAACTACTGATTATTGTGACAGCTCGCCCATTCTGCGTTTGCCGGTAATTTCATTTAAGAATGATTACGGATAAAATTAATACTTAAAAAGCGGTATTGTCAGTCGTTTAGAGTTAAAGTCGCTAAGAGTAGGTTAGCAAATTCATACTAAGAAACATCAAAATATTAAAAAGAAACTATAATACATACATTAATTACATAAAGACAACTATGAGCTTGTGACATTTTGTAATGTATACCTACTTATTTGTACGGACGCTGTATGTTATGTCTAGTATAGCCGATAGGCATAAACGTTAATTTATAAAACGATGACTTACAAACATTGCCCAAAACTAGTCGGCGGGTACAATAAACATTATGGGCACATTCATTAATAGCTGGCCGCTGACAAACGGTGCCTCTGCCCCCACCTCCTCTTTACCCCATTATCCCCATAAACCCCTGTCTACCCTCCCATATTCCTCCTTCCATCTACCCATCTCCCCATTCGGCCAGGTGTAAAACTGCCCGGTCACGGAAAGACAGACATGCGATGCGGCTAATATGTTTTTATTATTAAAACTATACGTATTGCTCATCCCTCGGGCTGGCGAGGGGATCCCCATGAATATTTATACGGTGATTTGTTAATAGCGCCATCGCTGTGGCCACGGTACTCATCGGCCATGACTAAGACACCTTTGAGTTACACCGCTCTCCATAGTTCATTTCAATTCAAAGTTGCATTATCTAGGTACCGTGGATATGAACATTTAATTCACTGCTTGCACATAATGCTAGGCTTCTACGCAAACGTTAGAATATGATTCAAGCACTTTCTCGACGAATCCACTTGGCGGTGACACGAAAGCTAGCTGGCGTGAGTAATACAGGAAAACGTATGGCGTACGGAGTGATGTCAACTTTAGTGGAGCCCTAATGTGTGGATGTGCGCGTTATCTGTGCCGCGCTCCCGCTCGGTGCTCGCCGCGGAATCTGATTACTGATTCTATGAAAGATAGGCTGCAGCATGCCTCGGGTATGTACGCAACTTGTGCAATATAAACTTAAACAATCTGTTTGACACACCAAGCTGTCGTGGGAATCATATTTTCATTAAGTTAACATTCTGATTTACTTAATATGCTTTTAACCGCTCTGGACCGCGTAAACTGCTACACACTCATTGCTTTCGCTACATTAAGAAATGTGCGCGGAAGGAAATGAAAGTACTACGTAGACAGGAAATATTTGAAACTCTAACATAATTTAGATGGATATTTTTATTTTCCACCGTGGTAGGTATTTGGAGTATGTATAAATGTCAATTATTTTATTCTAGTCCGTAATAGTAATGTTGTTTTTACATGAAGTGGCACGCGCCGCCGGCACGCGGCCATTTACCTACTCGGTCGCGGTAACACACGCTCTGCGAACATTGACGGTTTTTATACACTTGTTAATACATTATCACTTACATACTTACACACTTATTGTACCTGTTAACTATAGATATCCAATACACAAGGTACCCTTGCTACGCTTAAACACTACATTATATTTCCCGCATAGCTTGGCCTCGCATGCAATTTCTTATTGCTTCGTTATTTTCCATGGTTTTTCAAATAAAAGCATGATGCATAATGGGCTTAGTACTTAACGCCAGTCAAAATTATAAAACTTATTTTCTTCTTGTAGATTGAGTAGTCCCTACTAACATCCCCTTAAGAAGATTTTTTATGTAAAAACTAAATATATTGAACTGCAAACACTCTGGGATATACCATAAAGAACATATAAAAAATATTGACACATGTAAACAGTTGCTACATAAGTCACGTGGAATGAGATGGTCGGTGTGTTTAGCGGGAGCCCCCAGCCGGCCGCCCCCGGCCCGACATTTAGCTAAAATTATGGGAAATGCAAACATTACTCGAATTACATTTTATTTTTCCTCTATTAAGCGCCACCGTGAGACACGTGCCATTTTGACAAGCAATTTTTTTAAAAATCGTCCTTTTTGTGTTATCCAATATCGAAACTCGGAAAACTGCATGGTAATATGTTTTATACCACTCATTTTAACTGGTTTTGATGTAAGGTTGTAGATACTAAGTATTTATCTAATCTGAAGTTAATACAGTGCCTTAAACTATGTTCCGCTTGTTTGCGAACCGATTACCTCAGCTGCGTTTCCGCTATAAGTATACTTTGTGAATAGTAAGTACAAATATATATTATTCTAATGCTATTATTTTCCATTAAAAAGTAGCGCAGGACGCAGTTTGAGTTTTGTATTAAAATATATTCTGAGCTAGAGTAGCCCCCACCCCGATGGGCGGTTCTTATCGATCCGCCTAACGCCACCCGCCCTAGTCCGCCCAACCGATAAATACGACTCCCGACGCCGTGGCAATGTGAGCTCACTGCCTATAAAATGTTATTACTATTAGTTATTGTCGTCATAAGTTTTAGGGGTACCTAGTGGATGATAAAAAGCCTTACTTTGTAAGTGACTGAGCGGCCGAACAGGAAAAATGTAACGGGAGTATTTTGAAACTTACATTCAATTCTGAATGAAATTATGTCTTGGACAATAAAATCTGAAAGCTGTAGTTTTCAGCCATACAATAGGCTGCAGGACATATTCGCATAATTACTATTAAAATCTGTAAGTATCCAGCAAGCCTGAGCAGGCCGCATTGTTCGTTCGTCACCATTCCGCCATCGCTTTGACACGAGGCTACAATAATGATAATCGTCACTTTGTGAATTATGTCGATTACCTACATCAGAGCCTAGTGTACAGTTAGCCAAGAACATTTTGTTTGCAATATGAACTTTACGACTTTACATTAAGGCGGCAACATGTGTATTTTAATTGTTTTACATAGTATTGTATGCGTATGGAAGAATGAATTGTCGTGGGCGTAAGTTGAATTATGGAAATAGAGCGACGACAGTCGACGAGACGCGCTGTTCAAACAATGCCATAACGGTATGAGACGGCAATTTTAATTCTTTTCATATGAGGATACATTATTGAAAAGGTCATATTGTCTATTAGGGGTGGCTAAAATGTCTGCACCGTCATGAGGTGTTGAAATGAATGCATTATATTCCTTAAATTATTCGTGGTAGTTTTTTTATTTCTCTATATACTAAAACTTTTCATGAACCAAATGACATTAGAAAGAATAGTTTTCATATATCATTCTCGTAACTTCTTTTTATTAAGTAATTCCATATCATTGGTTCTTGGTCTCAAAATTAAAGTATACGACTGTCATAACGTGACAGACAGTCCTAACAGTAGATTGTCATATGCGTTCCCCTGATGCTAATTAGCACAGAGTCCCGTGGGCCGCGCCAGGAAGGTTTATGTGGATTGCCCGCGTGGCCTAACGCGGCGGCGTGGCGACGTACACATTGTGAGCTGACCTCCTCTGACCTTTTACATTTCCTGCTACTGCCGACGGACAGTTTTTCATTAGGAATAGCTTCCATGACATATATTCACATACTTGGCAATAAGTGTAATGCGCACTAAATACACACTGCCTTCATCGCTCCATCGGACATTTACAAATGAAATGTCTAAGAATACTGACATTTTACTGGCTATTTCATAGAAATGAATTATGATATTTTAGTAACTCTAAAAAGCTTTCTGATGTAGCGGTACGGTAGTTTTATGATTTTAATTATATTTGGCATTCCGTGGTTCAATTTGTTTATAAAACTAGTTTTACTATCACTTCTATAAGTAGATGTCCAGTTGACTGTCGTAAGTAGGTATTCTTTCTAGATTTTATCCTACTTTTCATTTCGACCTGGCAACAGGTCGCTGCCGACGTCTATCCGACAGACCCGTAGACGTCTCGTTCTCTTGTTAATATTATCAATTGGTTTTACAACTATCTTGACATACTTACAACACATAAAAACTTATATAAAATTATGTAGATGGAAAAATAACTCGAACATGTTAATGTTCCACAGTGGTATCGCTATTCTTCATTGAATTTAAGCTATTATCTGAGTTTTATTGACTATTAAGTAATCTTTTATGAAGTAGGTAGGCGTTCATGCAGGAGAAAATAGAATTGCTTTCGCGAATAGCTGTTAAGCACGCAGGGCTTTATATATCTATCTCTGCATTGAGTAGTAACAAACGTCATCAAACTGTTTTTATAACCCACAGACTAACCTGTACCTGTTTAAAATGTCTACTATTGCACCTTTAAAATTGTGCCTTTTGTCTCAAAAGTTTATAGATATATTTATTCAAAGAAATCGCTAAATTATTTGTCGTGAAATACTAGTTTTACTACGATTATTAAAAAATTGAAAACTATTATACTGTACATTATTTAGTTGTTATTACATTATTTTTACATAGTGGTAGAGACCTACACAATGAAAATGAAAATGGCTGCCGTTTTCCAGCCAACGTCAGCACGTCCGTCATTGGTTGGTAAGCCCATAGCACGTGCGCAGCGTCGCGACGCAATACCTATCTATTCTCTTTTTGAATGTCCGCCATGAAAGTCGTCATCTCTCGCACGACCAATCACAACACGCCCATTTTTAGCGCTTTTTCATATCTACCGTTGTTTCATTCTATTATAATACCTATTAAACGAATATTAATGCAGTTTCGCGCCATTCGTCAGAGATATACAATAGATAACGTTATTTATGTACATGTTAAATTGATATGAAATACAAATTCTCGTAGTTGTACCTCCATATTTCCTTTGTAATCGTTATCAATAGGTAACATGTGATATAGATAATTCAAATGAGAGTGTGTACATTAGGGATTTGTCAAAAACCTGCCTACATTTTCAGCCATTCATATTATTGTGTGCAGTAAGATAATGTTGGTATTACCACTGATATGATTAAGTGATTTAGTGATTATTTTATATATCGTTTTCTATATACGAGTAGGCTCAGAAATTATAAAGAGATTGAAAAGATCTGATCGCAATAGTGATTCTAAATTGTTTATGAGAACAATAAGACAAATGAAGCCTAAATAGAGATAAAGATACGAATAATTTGATACATTTGTCAGTGTTCATGGTGCAAGCGAGCTCACTAATATAAACTTTAAGTAGATTGGCGTCGGGGTACTTGCTCCATTCAACGGTCGAAATAAATAACAACAACAATCTATTAGATTTGAGATATAATCTGGTGCAAGTGCGTGTTTCATCACTGGCCAGTGCAAATCCGCGGGAGGTTCTTTCATTTCACAATAGCTGTCTGTTCGGTATAAGCCGACTGATTTAGCTGGCTTCGTAAATGAGCTAAACCGAAGCGAATACGGTGCCTAGCGCACCGCCCAGCACAAAGAATAAAATTAACTTTACAAACAGACAAGTCTCAGCTTTTAGGATGCATTATATAATTTACTATCTATTCGATTCTCTGCAACATTTAACATTAAACCAGAATAGATATCAAACCATCTTGTCATAATTCCCATTTTACGTATAGATATACATGTACGCTGATTTCTGCAGCAGTATTTATAACGCAGAAAATTTGTATTTAATAAAGGATCGACTTAGTTGATTATTAAGTTAAAATGTGTAATAAGGATCTTAGGATATTTCTGTGTAACAAAATTCATAGCAAACGTGTTGAAGGATTGAAATAAAAGGGAGCACATTAAAGGTAATGAAAGCTCCGTACAGCGTTGCTCTGCGTGGAGCAGTGTTATTCTGCGGCAGTATAGTCTATGTGGTTGTTGCTCAAGCTCGTCTAGTCGCGGTGGAGGAGCCACTGCGCAATCGTTCGATCCGCAAAGGTCATGGAAGGAATTCGCGCGGTCCGGCGCACTTGCGACACCCCACGCTGCTCCAAAGAGGTTCCGATCGCTGCCGACCGGGCTCACCGATTACTTTAACTCTATTTCACCTGTTCGCAACAAAAAACGAATCGAATTACAGAACATGCACGAATTGCGTTCTAATTTTATAGTAAAAACGAATAATGTCTAAACTATGTGTACCTAATCGTGAACGTACCTGTTGAAGTCGTCAACATTAAACAATAGAAAAGCAAACAGATAAAACACTACATATAACTTATCAATATTTACATATTCTATCATGGTATGAACTAATAGGAAATTACTTCACACTTACCTAGATACCTACCTAGTGTGTACATATATGTATACTTAGAAATAAATAAGTACTCTTATTTATAAAGTATGTAAGTACTGTAAATTACTACGGGTACTTAAATCTGATTACAAATCAGGCATGAATAATATACCTTTAAGTGAATAAAAAATTTGGCTGTTTCATTTTTCATTGGCAATTCTGAGGCATTCAAACCAAACAAGTAAACGGTAATTAAATATACTAACAACGGACTTTTCAACTTTTATAGAGATATTAAAGATTCGGTGTGACATCCATGCGCGCTAAGGGATTGATTACCCGCGCCTGCGCAGGTGTACGGTCCCACATACTAACGTACTACGTAGTACAGGCCACAAGTTTTACTACAACTACATTAATTTTATCGTCACTCGTAAACGGCAAGCAGTCGTTTAAGGTATACTTCTATCCGAGTGCTTAGAGATTAAACACTTTCTAAATTGGCAACTACAATTATATTGTGGCCCATAAAACAATTGATTACTTTCCTCGTCAGATACATCTGACAATACTTCACACAGAATAAAATGTTGACATTTTGATTCGACAATTTAATTTAATTTCGATGTCAGATCTCATCCCGAAATGTGTACGTATGAAGTGATCCGATATGAAAGCTCTTGCTCGTCACCTGCGCGTGCGCGTGGGCCTGCCGCTATTGTATGCTAATATCGCACGCCGCGCCGGCGCAACATCGCTTGCCCACCTAGCAAGGAGAAATTGTTCAAAATTGTGTAAATTCATAATGTTAATCGTAACTTTAATCCTCTTAAGTATGATTGATGACGCCAATCAGTTTCCAGGAGCATGCAACTTGCAACTTGTTTTAGCTTTATATGATAATACGATGTAGGTTCAAACACCGATGCGTGGTATGCAACTTCATACACACTATTTATTTGACAATTTGAATGCTTACCTAATTCAAAGCCAAAGCATTGATATGTAAACATTTCACTCGTATAAGCCAAAACTTTTTAGAAAATACATAAAATTTCATTCATTATACAGGTAATTATGAGTAGCCTACTTTACTGAGAAAATTTTTGTTGATAGTAGACATAAGTAAATAGGAATCGAAGTACTCGATGGACTAGTTAAAATATGTCGTCTTAAGCGATTAGGTAGGTACCTACACTCAGGCAAGTACTTAATTATATACGAGTCACATATCGGATAGGTATCCAACATCGTGGAGTCACAACCTGCTGTTGTATTTATCTCTCACGATAATTCTACAAGTTTATAAATCCCTAAGTTTATTACCCCTAGATACATAATATTTCTTTGTAGTCAAAAGCTCTTAACACTAAATCAAGAAGACTTTCTAATATCATTAGCATTTGAATAGGATTTTCATAATAGAGTCGCGATAAATATCTGCAAATCATCAATCGACGTCTGTTTGTTTTGTTACAGACATCTGAGCTAGAGTCGCTGCTGTGTAAGCAGGAGGGCGCCTCACTCGCGCCCGCCCACATGGACCTATTCGACGGTGGAACTTCCTCACGCGACGATGCATTCCTCCGGCCTGCCCTCTGGGAGGACATCGCTTCCTCCATCAGAAACATCGACCCCGAGAACGCGAACATGCTCGCGCCGCTCGGCTCCACACACGTCAAGCTGGAAGCTGACGAGGCGCTCCTGGAAGAGTGCGCCACCCCGCTACTCAGTCCCCTCGAGATCAAGACGGAGAGACTGTGCGCGCCGCCCACGTACGCGCACCCGCAGCCCCCGCAGCACCAGCCGCCGCATCAGCCGAACACCTCGTTCGCCAAGTACCCGCCCTCGCGGCTCGTCTACATGTCCCCGCTGACGCCGCCCAGCTCCGAGCAGGGCAGCCCCGGCAACACCATGCAGGTAACACGCACCTCCAGAGAGCTGGCGTCGCTCGCGTACTGATGGTACCATCTGTTGCTCAGCGATCTACTTATGTCGTGCCACTTCTTTTATTGCAGTCAACTAATATAGATATAGAGCAGTCTGGAGTCAGTTTGGTATTACAATTGTAATCAGGACAGTGGTAAGGTCCTATACATGATATTGAAGTCCCCGATTTATGAGTCGAGCAACATTTGTGGTGTTATTCACAGGGCGCAGGCCGACGCACGCCGCCGCCGCCGTACCACCCGCCGCCGCTGCTCAGAGCGCCGCACGTGCCGCCGCACCCTGGCCCGCACCAACATCACCATCCACAGGTAACTAACTCAACATCACTCTTGCAACACGTTTACTACACGTTTGGCGCGGTGTCTGGACAACTGGCTGACGCGCAACGTGTTGCGGGTTCGATTCCCGCACGCAACAATTCTTTGTGTATATTGTTGTTCTGAACAACACCACATGAGAATAGACTAGTGTGGGGCAACGTTTGTTTAAAAAAAGAGAGACTAGATTAGTAACTTCCAATTGTAGTTTAGATTATTTACAAAAAAATGAGTTGTCTAATAGTTAATCATAAATGAATAAAGTAGTTTGTTCCGATGCAGACGATGGCGCCGGTGCAGGTGGCGCCGCAGCCGCCCCCGCCGCCGGTGCACCACGCACCGCTGCAGCACGCGCGTCTGGCGCCGCCGCACCACGTCAAGTACAACCGGCGGAACAACCCCGAGCTCGAGAAGAGACGAGTGCACCATTGTGACTTCATAGGTAACATCTACATTAAAACACTTGTAACAAACCCATGTCTCTAAGTAAAGTAAATGAATTGTAAACTTTTTAACTAACACAATACCTATAGTCGTTATTTCGTTAAGGAAGCGCTTTCAACTGGTAGCATTAAATCTGAATAACAGAGGCACATCTACAGCCCTGAAGAGATATCAGGAGTCAGTTTACGACCATTCTATTTATAAGCGCCTGAAATGAAAATTATCTCAGATAATACTATGTCACCCAACCTTTTCTTTTGTTTGGATTTGGTTGGAGTTACAAAATAGAAAACAATCTACGTACAGGTATTGAGTGGTGCTAGCGTCTAGCATAATCTGGAGTAAACTGATGATACAATAAAGATAGCTTGCTAGCCAAGTTTTACGAGCTGATTGGTCAAGTGTCCCGACGACCTCGGTTACGAATATAACCCTAAATCTTTTGAAGCACCCACGCCTTACCAACACTCTGTACTGATCGATCACAGATCTGGTAGAAAACGGTAAAACATCCGCGTTTTGCATGCATGCAACATAAATCTACATAATTTAATCGAACAGTCAATCCTCTTTGTCCTTTGTTTGTTTTGTTTGTTGTTTTCTCGGACTACTCGACTTTTGACGTCAAACTCAAGTGTATTTTAAAGATGAAACTGTTATTTTCAGGTTGTACCAAAGTTTACACAAAAAGTTCACATCTAAAGGCGCACCAGCGGATACACACAGGTATACCCTGCACTTATATTTATATTACTGACCCTGCGACTGCGAAATGAACGTCATTATCTAGATGGCAATGCGAATATCCCAACCTAGTACTAAGTCTCTCACCATACACGTGTTCCAAGAAGTCTTGTATTTTAATTTGACTCGACCGTCTCCTTACTATGTACGTCGACTACTCAACAGCCCAGCGAAAGTAACAAATATACCTAATGGCAACAATGTAACTAAGTACCTACTGTGTTACGAGTATCGTTTAAATTTCACCGTAGTATATTGTCACTTGTCCAATTTATTTAACACAGACTTCTCACCTAGTAACTACTTTCTAAAAACCTTAATTTGACCCAGTGCCTAGTACTCTATACAAACTTCCGTATCGAGACACGTGGTAGAGTTCATTGATATCGAACTGAAATTATGAAAGTCAACAAAGCTTGCCGATTAGGCAAATTTCCTTCGCTGTGTTTCTGGAAATAGCTCGAGACGTGACTTGATGTTATGACAGCATTACGATTGTGGGTGCTGCATCGATGACACGATTCTGTCACCATACATGAATCTTGCATGATACTTGCATGCTTGATATACAATCAATTGCAGTGCCCGATGAATTAGGACAAGCTAACTGTAAATGTGAAGTAATAACAAGGCTTGTCTAGACAAAGCATAAACTACCACATCGGAACGACACCACAACCTCGTAAAAGCAGTTGTGTTAATTGTGCCGCTGCACCAACTACTAGCAAGTGGTCAATCTGTGGTCGCCAACAAAATAACACATGTACTGTTTCATCAGGTGTACGTTAGATGCGTTCACGCTGGATAGCTGTGGCAGTGACCAGTTGTGTGTTCCCAGGTGAAAAGCCGTATACGTGTCAGTGGCCGGAGTGCGAGTGGCGGTTCGCGCGATCTGACGAGCTGACGCGTCACTACCGCAAGCACACGGGGGCAAAGCCATTCAAATGCGCCGTCTGCGAGCGCTCATTCGCACGCTCAGACCACTTGGCACTGCACATGAAGAGGCACCTGCCGAAGACGTCTAAATGACACACGAGGAGGGGCGGGGATCAGCCGCCCGCTCCACACAACACTCAGGTAACATTCTCCCAAACTTAAAATTAATTGCTTCATAATTTTACCATATGTTCTTGTAATATAGATATTATAGAATAGAGAATTCGCATCCATATTTAAAAAACTGCCAACTGTAATTTAACCTTCCATTATCAACTTCCTAAAATCATTAATATGTTTAAGTCGTGCACTTAACATTTGAATTATGTTTGGAAATGTGTTTTTCATAACCTCTTTTCATTTCGCAGGAGGAGTGCAGTGAGAGCATCTTCCTGGAGTGTGACCTGGACACTACCCTGATGGACACGTTCTACGGCGTACTGTGACCGAGCACGGGGCTCCAGCTCATCGGCTCACTACCATGTCAACCATGCTTATTGTATATTTTGTTAAAGCGAAGATGACAGCACTCCACGAACTTCAAGTGTCATTGACATTCGTACGACTGTTAAAAAGTTTCCAGTGAATAAGAATATGATTTATAAAACAAATCTTCCATCGTTAAAGAGTGATGGTACTTAATGTGAGTAAGTAGTTAAGTACTCGTACACAACTATCAGTTAACCATAAATATACGATTCTCTATATAAAGTCACAATACGTACAATACAACAGCATTACCAAGGAAATCGCTTTACATAATATATACCTTATTAATTGTAAATGACTCAATTAGTCATGTTATGATGTAAATTAAAATGACAAATGTTTTAATGGAGCGAGGTTTGCGACACCGTTGCTAAAGACTCTCGTTGCTCTGAGTCTTGCTTCTATCATTGAAGCCAACAAGTATCTCGATTGGCATTAACCCATCACGCAAATATAATGGAACTTCCTTTTGCTAATTAATTAAGATCCGAGTTGAGTTGTATTTTGTAGAGTCCCAGTACATTTCGATGTAACTAGTGAATGCAACTAATACAAAACATTTTGCAGTCCCAGAGAAGTTGTGTGCCCTATCCACACGAAATTTGTAATAAAACAAATCTTAAGTGTCGAGAGATTCCTAAAATAATTGCTCACTACAACAGCAACGGTGTCCCTTTAAAACTTCGCGAATTAAAAGCTCTAAGTATTCATTAGATATGATTAGTTAATTTATAGTAAGTTAATTAATAAGAGAGCAAGGAATATCCAAGATATTATCTTTTAATATTATTATTGCGTAAATATCAGTAAGTAGAAGTATGTTAGTCTTAATGTACGGACGCATGTTTCAATGGTACGATCTCAGTGATGAAATTGTACGAAGTATGAAATTATAAATTTTCCCGACTAGGTAGATATGTACCATATCTTAACTATTTTCTCTGCAGTGAGAATGTCTCTAGCATTAAGTCCGCTTATTAATGTTTTTATTGCATAGAGATTAAATAAACATCTTGTAACACCCGACCTTTGGTATTGAAATGTAACAACATTATGAAGTAGCTTAACAGCAGACAGCAGCAACGAGTCGTAAAGAATTTAATAATGCCCTTCTGTCATTGTGATTCTCATAGAAACATAGAAAAGTCTGTTCATCCCTTAATATTGTACTGAATAAGTATCTGCGTACTATATAACCTAAGATCGTATTATTGGAACATTCAAATTTTACACTTTCTAGTCTCGATTTATTAAAGTTTGTTTTTTTTCACATTTTCATATCATCAACAGATTGCCTTAACAATATTTGCCTGGCAAAGTGAATCAACGTGTTTCATCATACATATTTTATTATTGATAACAATATGTATTTATTTTATACTTTCTAATATATTAACAGTTAAAATATTATAGAAAATTAATAAACGTAGCGCCTAATGTAATGTTAACTTGTATCTTACGAAGTGCTTTAGGCAGTTTAGTGAGGAATATATTGATTCAGCCTTATTGCCTCCGTCCAGGTGTTTGTACGCTCGCCACGGCGACTCGACCGGCCACACAATTTATACCTAAATCTTATAATATATACTATAACGCATTTGCCATCTTGAATAGTCACTAGTATTTTGTGCTACTCTAAGTTATACTTACCTACATTGCAGTTTAAATAACATTAGAAATCTTCCTATTGTAACTTGCTTGTTGTTTTCCTTTTCGTTCGAGTTACATTGGTTAAAAGACACTAAGACCTACCGGTAGAACCTATTTTGAATTTGTATCATCATTAACTTTCATTCATATCTGTATTCCAAAATTAAATTACTGAATTCTAATGTTATTTCTGACGCAATGTTATCAGAAAGTAGGTTTTAATTAATATTTAGCCTTATATTTACAAATATGTAGTTTCGTTTTCATAGCCCTTCTTGCCTCTATTTATAATATACAGTATAACCAAAATTTGTAAATACGAAATGTATACTATAGCATAATTGTATCTAATGCTATTCCACGGCTTATGTACTTATATACTTTTATGTATATCTATATTTATACATTTACATATATTATACAAAGTCTGGCTTCGTTACTACACTTAGAAGTACAGGCAACTACAAAAATAAACAATTGAATTTACCAGAACTATTGACGTGGCTTATGGTGTTGATACTAAAATAAAAAGGTTACTAAAAAGGTAAGGAGTTTCAAAAGCAACATTTTGGTAGTTATCTGTGCTTCCCCAGTGCAATAAAGATATTTAAAAGATTTTATCATGACCCGCACTTCGCATCCTTCATGTACCATATAAGATCCCCTACGTAATAATTTCGAAGCTAACATGTGACACCCACGCACTGTAATCTTGCCACTGTTTCTTGCATTTATTTTTATGTATAAACTTGTGCGAACTTTTTTAACTTTGTGAAAATGAACCAAAAGGTATTTTTGTGCTATAATTTTAAATCTAAAAACCCTGAGTGTCGTGTAAGGATAACCTCTAGTCCGGAACGTAGTTATTTCATGAGGAATTTAAGGAACTAGAGACGAATGACTTTATCGTAATGCCTTTTGAAACATTACACAATTAAATGAGGCCTTAATATAGTGACTTGCTGTACGGAAGTAGTCTATAATTTTAACATTAGCAAGACGAGACAACAACTAAACGTAGATGTTAAGGCAGACGTAGTTGTGACGAGAGTTCGTCTATGCTGATTTTCTTAAACCGAATAATTGCCATAAACATGTCGGTAGATGCCATATTTTTAATTAAAACTTAATTTTAGTTTTATAAAAATCAGTAGTTCTAAGCTCGTTTTTCTGTATAAAAATCGTACCTCACTATGTTCTGTTCTTGCTTACTTCTTTATTGTTTCGATTGCCGCTTATTTTATGCGATTATGTTTGTATCTTTTTTCACGTGTAATGTTTATTTTTAAGTGCATAGTTAAGTACGTTGACTAAGTCACAAGATAATTTATTACCAATGACGTGTTTTTAAATTCTTTTTATATACCTATTTTTTATAGTTGAGTGTAAAAAGTTGAGATATATTATATTGAGAAAATAGATATGGATTTAATGTGTTTAAATATAGTTCGTAGATTTTGCCAGAAGTGTGATTTACTAACATTTTGTTATTTGCCACTTATATTGTCGTAATTAATTTGTTCACTGTCGCAGCGATTCGTCTGCAGTTTTATGGAGTAAAACATTGCAGTGTTTATCACTTTTGTGCGAAACCTTTAACTCAAAGACTCTTTAATTTTTTTAAATCTGTATCCCTTTTGATGGTATCACATTTCTTCAATCAATGTACCAATTTATTATTAATAATAAATGTATAAAAGTTTGCCATGGATATTCTCTCAATATAGAGCAAAAACTTAAAAAAAAAAAACAATTCAAAGCGAAGCACAAAACATGATAAACACTGTTCTGCCATATTATATTGTATCACACACAAATACAGTACCTTAAGTGCCTTCGTGCTATGTATTGAATCAAATTTAAAGAATGTTTTTACAAGTATATTGTACCATTGATGTGTCTTATACAGCTTTAACATTTTACAAAATATTTTTATATCTTGTAGGTAAAAGGCCTTCGTATTAAGAATTCATTAATGAAATTGTAATATTCGCACACAGACATCCTAGTTTCGGTGATGTGATTCGTGGTTTCGCGTAGCTGCTGAATGGTCGAGGCGTTGACGCCACGTAGCGACTGCGTAGTTGATACAAAAGCGCCGCGTAGCCGCTGTGTAGCTAATACGTACATAGGTGCTGCGTAGACGATACGTAGGTGCCACGTAGGCGCCGCGTAGTCGATCTGTAGTTGCAGCGCAAATACACCGCGTATTTATTGTGTTGTTGTATGAGAGCCGTCGTAATCACATCAATTAGACCTGATAGTAGGCAGTAATAATAAAATAAGTATTTTACTTTGTAACGCCAGTAAGATCATAATTCTTTGTTTAAAATGTATCACTTACTACGAAGGCACACTGACTATCTTATATGTGGGTTAATCTAGGAAAACATTTCAAAACAAAATAAGATATATGCAATCTTGGAAAGGAAATTTATTTACTTGAAGCCATAGCATTTAGGCATCTCACATCTATATTGCACTGATATCAATGGTACAAAAAAGTTCGTAGTCGAATATTACATGCTTATTATTCACTTTGTATATGTACCAAGCATTGTGCCACCAGAAAGTAACGATGTTACAACAAACTTCACATTTCAGAACAAATTAAATTTAGTCACATTTACTGTTGTTTTTTATTACTCTTCCTGACTATACTTCTAAAGATCTGTTTGTCTTAAGACTATTTGTTCTACATTTCTATAGAACGCAATTGTAAACAAAAAGTAGAAGCTTAGTGATTTCCTCTATATAAATGTAATAACATCCACTTAAAAAGTCCTGATATGAATCTCATTATCACACCAAAATTTTTATAATTCAGAAGAAATAATTATTTTAGAGATTTTTAACCTGATTAGCGCTCTCGACATTGGATAATCTAATTATCTCAGGCTATTTTTAATACAGTCTATTCGGAATCAGAATGCTAAGGATGACTAACAATTCTTGAAAACAAGGTGTTGAAAATTCGACTCAGGCATGGTCGTTTTGAGAGTGATAATTATCGAATGAATACTACTAGGTAAGGCGAGAGGAAGTATTGAAAATCCTGATATCTTACTGAAATTCCACCACGTTCCAACCCCTGCTCCTAGCCTGCCGTGATGACTTATTGAGCTTTGTCCGGACCTCAGCCGAATCATATTTCATCATCATCAGCCTATAAGTGCCCACTGCTGAGCAAAGGCCTCTTCTCATACGGAGAAGGTTAGAGCATTAACCACCACGCTTGCTCAATGCGAGTTGTGTGTCAGTTCATGTCATGTCGAAATAATCATAGAAAGTAGGTACATATAACTCGGAAAAAAGTCACATTGGTACTTGCCAGGTTTCGAACCCTCATTCTCATGCATGAGAAACGGCTCCTTAACCTCATAGTACGAGAGCCCACGACCAAATCCATGTCTCATAGCAATACGGCAAAAACCCTATAAAATTGTTAGATTGTATGATTCTGAACGCGACTACGCGTGTAGTAACGGTCGAAAGTGTAGCAACTGTGTGGGAGGCCATTTCTGCTGTGTCAATAAAAAAAGACAGTCGGTATTATAGCAATACGTCTGATAGTGAAAATGTACATAGATTTTATAATTGTATTACGAAAAAGTTTGTTTTCAGACATTTTGCGCGTAGCATATAGCCTGAGCGCATTTTTGAAAATGTCAACAAATTTAGCCGACCTGTATCATAGCAATACGGATAATTTTTTTTTAAACTTTTCGTATTGCTGCCATGATTACCAAAAACCTGTTTTCAGACATTTTGCGCGTAGCATATAGCCTGAGCACATTTTTGAAAATGTCAACAAATTTAACCAATTATTTCAGTCCTTCAACTTCAATGTTACGGTTTCGGGTAAATTCTTTGTTAATTATCATCTAATAAATTCAGGGACGCTACGTAGGTATTCATTGATTTGTAATAGAAAATTCAAGATGCCTCAATACGATTTTTAAATGATATCTGGGTATCGAAAAGTTGTCTGATAGAGAAGGTGCTACACTTAATTTGTCTGATATAAATTTTTTGCACATGTGGACAACTTATTTTATCGTGTCCAACAATTTTCAGACATATTGCTATGATACCGATCGGTAAAATTTGTTAACATTTTCAAAACGGTCTCAAAATTTAATGCGTTCACATTTCCGTCTGATAATTGTTTTGTTCGCATCAAATAACCAAAATTTACTAATAAAAAAGATTTTCAGACGTAATGCTATGAGACATTTTTTTTTGTCTCATTTTTTATTTTTGTAAGTGATTTTACGGGTTTGCTCTACACCACTAACGTCTGAAAAATATGTTTCTGGTATCTCAGATCTATCATTTAACTACAGTCTGCAAATCAGACATATTGCTATGATGCAGTTCGGTAAAATTCTTTGACAATTTTGAAAATTCGGTCAGATCAAACGCTACGCGGAAAATTTCTGATATTGGTATTTTTGAGTTCAAGATAATCGTATCTATCGATTTGATGCGGTTTTGGTCGTATTGCTATGAGACAAAAATTTTGTCAGACTCTTACTGACTAACTCCCCCCTCCCCCCTCCCCGCTCCCGTTCCTTCTCCTGCTCTTGGTCGAGGCCGCGGTGACTCATTACGCTTAAATCGCAACCCCGGCTGCCGCTGAACATCAGCCCTATAGGGCCCCGTTTGTGGTGATCCATTGGCTGGGGCATTACAAGGCCTGGAATCACTAATTATCTTCATCAAACATTTTTAGAAAACGTTCACGAGTTATGCAAAGCTGGACGTTCACGAGTTATTCAAAAATATTTCAATTTTATGATATCGTCAATCTTAGAGATTTTTGGAGATTCCAAAACCTTGCTGGCCTCAAAAGCGATTATTGACTATCAATCCTGAAATTTGTTTATAACAAAATACAATATCATTTCTTCTCATACCTCAGGATGATACATTCTGTTTAGGTACCTAATAGTTGCTAAGTTCTGAAATTGGTTGTGACGGTACTTAGAGTGATGGCGACCCGCAGGATTGCTGCCGCTAAATTGTTTCTTAGATGGAAAAATAATCTTGTACAAGCTTTTAGAAATTGTTTACTGTTAATGAATCTGTTCTTAACAGCATTAACAATTTACACATGCCTCTTTATTTTTCAGTGTCCGAATAAATATCTGCCAGTTGTGTAATATCTTTTTGCCTCTCAGTTTATTTCACCCTGCCTCTTCCATTTATTTAATTCATTTCAAATACTTCTCGACAAAAAGTCACTAAATATTTCTTATAGGTAATTAAAAAATAAAATACCTTTTTAAGTTTATTTATTCCTTTTTATATTTTATTCTTTTTTAATTTTACTATTTGTATATTTTTCCTACCATTTCTGAAATTAAAAGGTTGATAAGACAACAGGTAATATTGAAAACACTACCTACCTATTATTAATATTATGAATATCCTGCTCAGTAGACACAGAGGCAGTAGCCGTAGTGACCCTAATTTATATGGTGTTAAATGGAAACATACATTTGTAACAATTGGTCGGCTCTGAAGGCAAAAATGTGCCTACTATTTATACTAAATAAATCTTAATTTCATACTCGCATACCAAATACGAGTAACTGTGCAGACTATATAGCAGCGTTCATATTATTTTTCACTGAATCAGGAGACACCTTATTTGGTTGTATCAAATTATAAATAGCGGTAATGCAATCACTCATTCTTTTTACCATTTTGGTGAGAAACCTGGTCGAGAATTCGAGGTAATTGGACGAAAGACGACAAAGATTAAAATAAAATAAGTGACTCACATTTTCTTACGGAAAATACATTACTCGGATCATTTGCAGTCAACGTAAGGTTATCTATATCTATATATAATATATATATATATATAGAATAAATCTGTAAAGCGGTCAAATCTGTACATTAAATATATTTTCAAAATAACAAAAACCAAGGGGTGATAAGTGATCGATATTGATGCCAAAAATGCAATCAGTAAAATTTTTGTCTGCTTGTCTGTAAGTATGTATGTTCCTTATAGAAACAAAAACTACTCGACAGATTTTTACAAAACTTGGTACAATTATTTTTTATATTCCTGGGCAGGTTTTAGGATACTTTTCATCACGCTACAAATAATAGGAGCAGAGCAGTGAAAGGAAATATTGGAAAACCGAGAGAAGTTAATCCTTTTTTTAAAAAAAGTTTCCCTCGCGTGTCTATCCTTAATGGTTAAAGTTACATAGAAACTATGTATGACGGAAATAATTTACCTAAGATTATCTAAAAAAATTGTTTTACATTATATGTCTATCTTTTATAGTTAACTCACAATAGCACGTGTAAGTCATGATAGCTTAGCAATTCGGATAATTAGCCATCGCGCCGTCGAGAGATGATCTCCGGCCACCGTAAGCGCGGGTCTGCGGACGGCGAGTAAGGGTAGCTCGCCGCCCGACCAGAACCGGACCCGAGCGTACGGCGCGTAGCGTTCCGCGCGCGCCTCAAAGAGCCATTAGACCACCACAGACGGGGCCCTAAAGGGCTGATGTTCAGCCGGGGTTGCGGGGTAAGCGCAATGAGGCACCGCGACCTCGGCATAGAGCAGGAGAAGGAACAGGGGGGTTTTTAGTCAGTAAGAGTCTGACACTCCCTCCTGCCCGGCCCTGGGCAGGAGAAGTCATTTGATGATTTACCCCTCACAAAAAAAAAAAAGCCATCGCGCCGTCGCATCTGAACACTGAATCATGCTAAAAGGATTATTTTTGTGTAACGGTTGCCCTGCTCGACGCGACGTGGCATAAAATATAATATAATATAATAGATTTTATTTATTTTATGAAATATTTGTTATACATATTCGTACCATTCTACCTATCTGTGGACGGACGAATAGCGGAGACTTAGTAAGTAATACAGTTTTTACCCATTGGAGATGCTACCATAAAAATGAGACGATTAATAAGAAATTTTATGTAGGTATCCATCGATTCTGTTCTTTTGCTATTGGCTGTTTTTTATTAACGTAGCACGCGGGCGAAGCCGCTGGCGGAAGCTAGTATGTAACATATGTTTATTTAATGCTGAATTAACTAGGTGGAGTAATCGAATCGCAATTGCCAAACAAGACAAAGAAAAGTTAAATACTTACATATATTAGGTTTTCGACAATCCTTATTAGGCAAGTAATAAGCAGTCTAGAATTGTACCTATATTGTGTGGCAATAGCCTTACCCTTCCGTTCTAGCAGTATGCGTTGTAACAATGACCTCCCGCTTCTCGAATTAAAGAGGATGCAGCTATTTTGTTAAATAGATAGAAACATACATGACGAAGCGATGGGTTCGGTTAGGGTTAGGCGTATTGATGAGGTGGCTGGAAAACCAGTTACCATGGAACGTTTCGCGGGCAGTACATTAGTACTTCCCTGTGTAATTGTGATGTGTAGTTAGGTATAAGGCATTGTATGTTTATAAACGCAAACAGGAAACAGAAGAAAATTCTGGTGAGGGCACAAAACGGTTTAACTTTAAACAAATCGCATTATTGATTAAGTACACATATTATTGTCACGGTTGTTTTTACATAATATATGTAATCTATACTTCTATACTAATATTATAAAGAATATTATAATATTATAAAGAGGCAAAATTTGTAAGTTTGTATGTAGGGGGTAATCTTTGGAACCGCTGGTAGGATTGCCAAAATTCTTTCACTGATAGATACCTAGCAACAATGTTCCTGAGTGCTATAGGCTATAATACATCACGCTACGGTCAAATGGAACTGAACAGCGGGTGAAACCGAGCGAGAGTAGCTAGTTTTCCCTTTAATAAAGTTCTTGTAAGAGTTTTATGCGGTAATTTCTTTCTAAGTGTCGCCCTACAGAATGTGCCAATCAAGTTCCTAAGAAATTTCCATATTTTAGCTGTAGGTACTTAAATTCATGGTTACCAGTAAAAAAGTTACTAAAAATAATATAATAAATAAAAAAGTTTATTTCAGAAACATGTACAAACTTTTACAGTTAATCTTACATGGTCCCTATGTAAGATTAACTGTAAGTAAAAGATATACCTGTGATAGGAGGCCCCGCTCTTCAATACCTTATATACCTAAGCGATAAAAAGTTGTGCACAAAATAACATAAAAAAGACATAACATTATTGTAGTATTTATGTTACAATTAATATCTTTTAACAACGGTTTTAATAAATAATAACATAAGCCAAGTTCTTTGCCTTTTTTGAGGGGGAAAGTCATCAAATGACTTCTCTTGTCCTGGGTGGGGTAAGAGAGTTGCAGGCTCTTACTGGCTGACTGTCTTGGCTGAAAACCTCCGTTCCTTCTGTGCCGCGTCAAGGCGACACATTATAAGTAAACTGCGTAATTATCTACCACATCTTTTTATCAAACAGTTGCTTGTCACAATCCCGGTCCAATCCGACAAATTCATTCCTATCTTGCCATTCTTGCCAATCGTAAGCTTGCTTAAGTACCTACCTATACATATCTAATGAGTAGGTAATATAGGTATATTTATTAGAAGTAGGTATTAAAAAAGTTATTAAAAAGATCTGGCAGTGATATAATGTGTATATGTGAAAGAGAACCACGCTCGGGAACAAATGATAAGTGCCTCGGCCTTACAGAAAGCCGACGAGAAACAACACGTGTGTTGTGTTTCGCGGGATCAATGACCGGAAGCCTAATCCTTCTGCCCTTCTATCCCCAATCCCCAAACTACTCCTGACACACGACAAAACGCCGGCAACACACTTGTAACTCCTTTGGTAGGTGTCCATGGGCGGTGCAGATTGGTCACCATGGGTAACCGATCTGCTTGTTTGCAGACCTATCTAATGAAAACAAAAAAGTGATACAATAATTCTGACAAAATATATGTGCCTATATTATATTTTACCATGTATATAATAGACTACCGTCCTATTAGTTTTAACACATTCAGTGCCCCCGACGCGTATGTGCGTGCGAGGAAACGCACATACGCGTCGGGGGCACTGAATGTGTTAAGCCGTTTAATTCTAAAGCATTAAAACAGTCATTACAATTTTTTATACCTTTATACCCTATCTACTTATAACCTTACAGGTAGTCTGCGCATAAAAGGTTAATTCAGTCAAATTGTGTTTGTTGGAAATATTGAAACTGCTGTACCATTTGGTCTCTCCTCTAAAGTAATCGTTGGCCAATTGTTGTCAACCTACAGTATACAAATAGGTCACGGAGCACATCAATAACCTGCTTACGGACAGGGGCCGAGTAAACTTTTACCTAAATCGTTCTAATTCTTCCACTTACACCGTCATTTTCACACATAGGTTGTCAGCGGGTGCTAAATGAAAAACGGTAACATCCCTAACAGTTTGCACAAACAGACAACCGTTATCACCCACTTTATTTATACATGATTGACATGTCTACTCACATTTCGTGACCATTTCTATTGGGATTAGGACTAGTGAAACGGATACTTATATTTTTGTGGTTACAAATGACAGAGGAGTACAATTAGTCGGTCAGTTACTGTGTCACGTTGAAAAGAAAAGCATCTAGTCATACACAATGTTAGCAAGAAAGTGGTGGTTAGTTTTATCCGCTTTGGTGGTGGCTGCTGCGGCTACGAATATCCACAGGTTTGATCAGGACGACATAGATGAAGAGGACGACGAGGGCTTCGATGAGTACGACGAATTTGATAGCAACAATGTTACTAGTGTTAGCGGAAGAAAAGGAAAAATATGTAAGTTTATTTTCCATGTCCTTCTGCCTTATACTCTACTCAAACCAAAACATTAACATTTTTGAAGTGAGAACTGTAGCAAATAATTTACATTGTTGTCCCGAGCTAAGCGAATTATATCATTATAGAGCCCTAGCCCTTATTGGATTATCTTTTTTCACTTTCTTAACATATTTGCAATAGCAATTGTAAACTAACAAAATAGCTTCGCGAAGCGTCCATGTAATTGTATTTATTTTTAACACATTAGTGTAAAATATAAAAGATCTAATGTTAATTCAATCAAAATAATGCATAATTCTGTTCGAAACTGAATGCTTTGAAAGTAGAAGAAACGTCCACAACATACCTACTACAACACTCATCATTTACAATTATTTATTTTGAATATAGAAATTAACATTAGAATAAGTTGTGCACTAAGAACTATTTACTTAAATAGGTAATTAATACAAAGAAGATTTTTGTGGTAGGATAACCATAAAATAAAATTTCTCGCTCAAAATGAGACGAAAGGTAGTGTCAGACTCTTCCTGACTAAAAATCAGGCCAAGGCCGCGCTATCTCATAGCTGTTGCCCTAAAACCGTGTTGAAAATATGTGTAATTATAAATATAAAACGTGTATCTTTTCAGTGTTTCCTTTCGTGAGTATCGTGCGGTTTGCGAACACCGAGTGCTCTACTGCCAACTCAATGAACGGCACGTGTCTTGCGCGACGGGAATGTAACAACCTTAACGGGACTATCACGGGCACCTGCGCCACGAGACGAGGACGGTGCTGCGTCGGTAAGTAAAAGTGAAACGAGCACGCTGATTACTAAAGGCACTCTAGACATTTATAGCTATAGGCCCCACTTCAAATTTATTGTCAAATCAATCTGATCAAAATTCAATCTAAATACTAAAAGAAGAAATTCAGAAGACTTCGGACTCGTAAGATTAATACCTATAGTTATCTTAATGCATGCGTGGTGGCCTAGAGGTTAAGGCGCTCGCTTCTCATGCATAAGTGCAGGTTCGAAACCTTGCAAGTACTAATATTTTTTTTTTCGAGTTATATCTCTTTTCTATGATTATTATTAATACACCACTTACATACGCGAAGGAAAACATCGTGAGGTAACCTGGACTTATAATTTCTAATTATAAGTTTGAAATCGTCAATCCGCCTTGATTAATGGTCAAACCTTCTCCGTGTGAGAAGATGCCTTTGCACCTACAGGTTGATGTTATGATGTGTTAATGTATTCCAGTATCTCGCACTTGTGGAACCACGACGAATGTGAACAACACTTATTTCACGAGCCCCGGCTATCCGGCCGCGTACGCTGGCGGCCCAGCCTGCTCCATGATCGTAAACCGTTGCAACTCCAACATCTGTCAGGTAAACCATGAATCTTCGTCATTAGTTCAGAATATTATCTCGAGTCTGTTTATTCAGTGTTAAAATACTAATGACTTGTTTACAATACTTATTTATTTAATGTAGTAGTGTCTGTTTTGTGACTAAAATCAAGCGAAGAGCTTAATCCAAGCTGCTCAAGGAGGTCTAACTTATAAAAGTAGGTAGGTACCTCAACACCTGCACTTTGATTTTTTTGACCAACAATATTTTTCAATATCACTTGTCAATCATTATGTGTTTCGATGTACCATTACTCATGCGAGTACCTACCTACGTATCTACTGAGGTATCTACCTAAATCTGTTATTTTCCAACGCCCAACACGTGACATGTTTGTTTATACCCTGAACTGCCTGCGTAATTCTAATTATCTACATATGTGGCAGCCAACTTCTTAAAATAGCCGTTCAATCAATGGTCTAGCCCTTGGATCGCAGTACAATTTGAGTTGTTTATTTGCGATGGCGATTCAAGTTCTGTGCGGTTCACAATCCTGAGTGAACTCCTCCTACCATTTTAGCAATTCAGGTTCATGAAAATTCCTTCACCCTTCCACTTCAGCCTCAATAAGAAATTTTGCCATTCAACCAAACGACTAGTCAAGCCAATTCAACTATTTGGCTGCGACATACTATACATATATGTTATGTATACCTTAGGTACTCTTTGTAGTTAGTTAAGTTTGAGGTGTTAAGTAATTAAATGGTGAATATTTATATTCAGCTCCGCATAGATTTCTTGGATCTGGTGCTAGCGCAGCCTGATGGTGACGGTAACTGCGTGACTGACTCCATATCAGTGACTGGAGGGAACACCATCGTGCCACTGCTCTGCGGCGACCTCACCGGCCAAACGATATTTGTGGACTTCAACGGGAATACAGCCATCACCATCGTGGTCACTGCGACCCTCGCGACCACCTTCGCTAGGAGGTGGAACATTAGACTGGTTCAGCTAGGATGCGATTGCCCTGGAATAGGTAACTAATTCAATATTTCACACTTCCACATGCTACGGTAACTGCTTTCAATCAAGCGAGCCTTAAGTAAGCTTACCTCTAGCGTAGTAGTGTATCTAATAAATACTCATAACAAGTATTGACTTGATAGTCATACGAATATCATCTGGAAACGTAACTATTACTACAAACTTATAAAATTATCAACTCATCATGCTTCTAGTAATGTTCTATTTGTATTTATATCTGACACAACTAAATATAAAAACATGCATTAATAAGCAATATCTATTTGAGTTTAAAACATAGTTACCTACTACATAGGTAGCGGCTAGATACATACAAGCAATCACACCGTAAACTTTAATTGCAGCTCCAAACGGTTGTCTCCAATACTACACTGGCATAACGGGGACTATTAACAGCTTTAATTACGGAACCGCGGCGAACACAGTGCTCAGTGCCTCTCTGGTGACAGGAACGCGGCAGATTGTCAATTTGAACTACGGAATATGTATCAGAATGGAGGCCGGTTACTGTGCCATACAATATTCACAGGTAAGCTTAATCACCACATCGTTTCCGATGTGTGTTAGGTAAAGCACACGCTACTCATGCCTAAGGAGAGTTTAAAGTATGGCAAGCACCAATGTAGCTTTTTCAGAGTCATATGTACTTTCTAAGTAGGTACTTACGTTTAGACACCGTAGACATACGGTGAAAGAAAACATCGTGAGGAAACCTGGACTTTTTCTAATTATAAGTTTGGAATCGCCAATCCGCGATCCGTGAGCGAGCTTGATAATTTACGCCCAAACCTCATCCGTGTGAGAAGAGGCCTTTGCTCAGGAGTGGGCATTTATAGGCTGGTGATGTGATGAGTCAGAGCAACTTTAAATTCCTAAATCCTAAATAAAATATTGTATACAGGTTGCAGGAGACGCATTCTCGTTTACTTTGACGGGAGACGTAGAAGGCGCAGACAACACGGTGCTCGGAACTCAGCTGGGTGCAGTGAACGGAGCCAACTGTCTCACTGACTTTGTGGTCATACCCAACCCCACAGTAGTCGCCACCGCCTTAGCTGCAGGCACGGACCGATTTTGCGGACTTGGCTTTGTTCCAGTGCAAAGTAAGCAGTTACTTATTATTTCAATCATTAAAGTTTACATGTGAATTCCGAAGTGAAGTTATATAGAAACAAAATTATATACCCATCTGACCTCTGAAGTCCGCTTCTTCTCTTATCGCTACTACTACTCAAAAATGTAACTCAAGCAAATAAATGTAAAATAATTATTCTGGAAAATAAAGATAAAGATTAATCAACTATTTGTCCAACAGGTGGAGCTAAACCATTTGTACTGTACGTGGTGACAAACGCTAACGAGGGAGCGACGGCTGCCACTCCGCCCGATATCGCCAACAGAGGGTTCTCTCTAACGTACACTCAGATAGCTTGCTGATCTACCTACTTAATGAACCTAAATAATACCAACATATAAATACTACATATAAATATAATCAATCATACAATATAAAAACAAGGCCTCTATGTAAAAGAAAAACACATAAGCAGAAAATCTATCTTTAAACATAAAAAGAATCACCGAAATCTACGTACATTGTACGCGCTAGCTCCCGAAAAGCTGCACCAAATTAGACAATTCTTTTTTGTTACGTCCGTTGTTATTTCGGGCGATGTTTACGAAAATAATCTCCTGTAACTTGAGGAAGGAGATGGAGATCCATGCGAGGGTGGATCGCTACTTTGCTAGCGTCATAATGGAAAAATAAGAAAACACAATGTAAGAGATTTAATTAATACTTAAAAGCTTTTACGCTACTCAGGTTCCCGACAAAGTAACTTGCAGCCTTCGCTATTGTTTCCAGGACAAAGGGTAGTCTCTTAAGAGCTACTACATACAGAAGGCTATTGTTTGTAGTGACGTAGGTGCCTATTCGAAGTAACATGCAATATTGTATAATGCGTCATAATATCTAGTGTAAGTGGGCCAGGTGCTTTTATAGGAAAAATTTGAAATGAAGACTTTAACACAAGTCAAATGTTATCGTTTTCTTTTCGAAGTATAATAACGGTGTGGATATTAATGTACTTAAATATGTTTAAGTAATTATAAGAATTACATCAGAAATAAGAATTTCATTTAACTACCCACCTGTTTGCTCTTAAGTTTTTTTTAAATAATAAGCTACTATATCGATAGGTTTTTACTTTTCGATTCGTTTTGAACTATAAGACAAGATACAAAGCCTGTATATCAGCCTCCTAGTTTCAAAAAGGGGTATGCTACGTTTTTATATACAATAGAAATAAAGTCAATACGGCAAGTTATTGGACTTTGCAACCTCAAATACTTATGCCCCTAGTGCCTCTATTGTGATGTGATAGAGCAAGAATAATAATCATACTTCATTCATAATACTACAAGTTTTTAACATCAAAAGATTCGAAACGAAGGAGATGCAAGCAGGCTGATGTAAAAATAAAAACCATAAAAAATAAATAGTCATGTATTTAATAACAACGTGTAACTAAACAATAAAATCACATGTTAACATATTAAACTACGTTCTTCTAATGGGTATTTAAAAACAGGCACAAATCTGCACCCGCGAAATGGTGCTGACAGTTAATTAGGCTCCTCCCTTGTCCATGACTTTTCCATAAAACATAACAACAACATAACATTTAGTGTCTCGCTAGAATTTATTTACAGTGTAAATAGAGTTAAGTAATGGCCTATTAAAATAAAAATACTCTCAGAAGGCACAGAATTTACATTTACTTTTTACATTAAGCAAGATATGTTTGTAATGTTTAAAAAAAGAAAGGAACGAAGGACTTATAACAATACAAAAATTGTTTCCATTAAAATTGAAAAACTGGGCAAGTCAAAAATAAATTACTACAACTTTTCAATGAAATTAACATTATTAAAATATAACAATTCATTGCAAACTATCGTTTTTTGACATTAAAATGAAGGTATTGAATTTGACGAGTTGGAAACTACCGGAAAACGTGCTTAAAATCTTTAAGTGATAAAAACTCATACACCCTTGTTTTTCTATCTGTGGGACGCGACAACTATCAGGGAAGTCGCGAAGGATCGCCATTGAAAGAAATAAGACACGGTTAATGATTCACAACAGTAAAATACAAGCATAATGGAAAGCAATTTTACAAAATCATCAATTATAAAAACTGTGGAACCGATCGTAATAAAATAACGTACAGCAACTGTCTTTAAAATAAACTATTGATGTTAAAAATGCAATACATAATTGTGTTGTCTACAGTAGTTGCAATAGGTATTACGACGTTTGGATACTAACTATGCATAATAAATAAATTAAAAAATAACGAATTACTCACGTGATTTAACTGAGAAAAGCTCTGCTAATATCAAGTCACAACGAGACCCTTATTCTTCTCCACTAACAGGTGAATAAGAGTCGTTGTCTTCAATAAATTTAGATACTACAGTATGTTTTCTGTTTAGTGTACTGTCTAAAGTATTTGATTTCGTAAGAAAAGAAAAAATACATGTCTAATCTATGAAATTAATTAAAAAGGCGGTCATAAAAAGTCGTCATTTCTATATTGTGTAAGGTCCCAAGTTTATCTATACATACAGTATAGTATAGTAGTAGATAGCTATAGTGATAAGTAATTTGAAACCTAATTCCAGGGTAATATTATCTATACAGAACAATAAACACCTTTTTGCGAAATATAAGAAAATACCTATGCATTAAAAAGACACACGTTATGCACTAGCTGCTATCTGTCTGTCATATTTAGAACATCCAGGTATTTACTTAATTAAAAAACGTATGTACGAGTTCATACAACCAATAATAGCACAATATAATATGCTTGAGCTTTGTGAACATTTACGTGTTGAACCATTTATATCACCATTCGAATCAGGACCTACAGACGACATTTTTATGACAACCTATTAATCTAGACAAATAAAATCTCGATAACTCGAACCGTGTTTACATTAAAACAAAAAAATTAAACAATTCCTTCGTGTATATAAATATAACACACGCTAGTACATACAATTTGGCTTACTTGTGATATCATTTAATTGTATAGATATTTACGAAATAACATTATTTTAGCTAACAAACTTAAGTTAGGCATACTATCATAAATCTTTTAGATACTTATGTGGGGACCACAGCATCGGTTCAATTCTGGAGACGGAAGAAAAAATTACGTTTGTTCTCCATCTTCAGAAAACACAACTTAATTGTACTCATATTTCATACACAAAATTTGTGAAGAATAAAATGTTCTAACAATATCGTCCCCTAAAACACAAATAAAAATAGTCAAGCCGAGCTATCGAGATTCATTGTCATTGAAAATGTACTACATTTTTAATAAATACAAATTAAGACTTTCATTACGAAACTCTCATTTACATAAATCTCAACGACGTATTTACATCACTAGGAACCAATTTTATTGTAACTGTTATAATAGTAGGTACTCTATTTGTAAGGCTACACAATCGATAAACAAAATGCAACAAATATATAATTACGCTAGATCAGGTAGTAAATAATTTTGGACGCAATTATACAATGTCTCCCATGAATAAAACTGACTCAAAATGATCAACAAAGAAAAATATGTACAGGAATATTTTTCTTTAAAGTTTGACTAAATCTCATTATGGATTGCATAATCGTAAAATGGGTAATGTGAATTATCTACGTACCACGTGCTTTTAAAGTTAACGGCAAGGATCGAAACAACTTAGTGGAAGTTATTTAAGTCGTATTATTTCCTTGAACATTGCATTCACAATTATCACCTTTTGCGCCTATATATTAACTGCTATAGAATCTGCATTAAGCAACGACACAATAGGTAATAATGTACCGGGTATGTTAGTGACAGCTGCATGGATTGTATCTAAAATCTGTAGTTAATGTTAATAAAGTAGACGTAGCATCTTTAAACATTTGATAACGTATGCAGCTTATGTGTATCTTAGAATGCGTTTCTGCTAGCAAGAAAAAACTGATACTGTCGACATTTGTCTAAAACTTGACCCAAACTAATATTACGAGTAAATCAACGTTGGTATGTTGTAAATAATCTAAAAATATTAAATATTAAGTAGTCCTACTATTGCTCGGGAAAGTCACAAACTATAAAAGTTCTCAAAGATGATGATCGGTATCAAAGTTGCTTATCAACACCAAAACACGAATATATCGTTAGATATTTAAGCATGCATGGCAATAACTTTACCCATTCTTCTTTCTATGGCGTTCTTTGTCTCGTAGTACCATTTCTCAACTGCCGTGTTTTTCTTCAAGTCTTGGAAAGCCGTGCACCCTTCAATGCTGCTGAGGACTCCGAACACTGTCACGTCGGCTAAATTTGGCTTGTCACCCCCCAGGAAAGGAGTGCCTTTCGATTGTACTGCACCCATCCATTCATTGACTGCGTCATAGAGCGACTCGCGAGGATCGTCTTTTATCTTGTGCCTGAAATCCCAAGATGGGTTTGGTATAAAATATGACATCACATAAAAGTAAGTACAGTGAGTGCTATAAAAACGATTCAATAAAACTTCGCCTCGAATACTGGAGGTAATAAAACCTGTGGAAAGAAAGAAGCTGTACCTGGTCTTTAACTTCTTAGAAATCATGTACATAGCGGCGGCCCCGATGTATACCATGAGAGTGCACTCCCACGCGGGGAAAAACTCCCTCCATCCGCCAGCTTTTTCGAACCATTGGAAAGTTTCAAGCGCTTCGCCAGCCGTCCTATACACGTTAGGGGATAGTGTGTTGACCAGGACTCTGTCGGCCCACTGACGCCATTGGCGCTCCTCACTGCAATATACATAAAAGTTTCTGGTGACTTTATATCACTAACACCCGGTTTCCGAAAGGCCGATCAATGTTAAAATCAATTTAATCTCTTGTCAAGTCATCTGATTGGTTGACTGAATTATCAACAACCAATCAGATGACTTGACAAGAGATTTGACACCTAGTTAATAGATTTTAACATTGATCGGGCTTTCGGAAACCGGGCATTACTACGGTACTCCAACTATAAAAAATAATACAAAGTTCCTATCTCGTCTGTAGAGCTATTGACACGATACCGGTAATTAATTTCCTATCCGTGAACTCGCTCGACATTCGTGGGTGTAGGTGACTTATAAGAGCAACTTCACAGGAGAGTAAGCTTTGTGTCGCGTGCAAAAATGGTGGATCGAAGTTACGGTCAGTAAGTTTAGAAGCTAATTAACAGGCTAGACGTACAAAATGTCTTTAAGCTTTGTATAATGAGGTAATTTTGTCAATTTCATTTAATAGTACGTAAAGGGTTTTGCAACTGAGAGTGTAGGTACAATAGTTTTTTTTTTTTAAATATTCGGTCATTGATTATCTTTTTTAAACATTGTCTTCAAAAGTATTATCATCTCATCGAGCTCAGGCTCGTGTTTTAGATAACTATAGAATACACCTATGCGGTTGTTTTCACCAATTTGAGATTGTCTATAAAAGTTTGGCAAATATTGTTCAATGATACCCCTATATTAAAGTGCAGTCATAGGTGCCGTGTGGAACCTATCGCCAAACGCCGGACGCGATTTTTGTTCACATCATATCAGTGAGAGAACTTTCAAAACAAAAAATCCCCCTAAAACTTTAAGACTACAGCTTATTACTAGTATGAGCACCCATCCTGCACCGCCTCATCGCAGTCTCCTTAGTGCAGGGTGGGTACCGGGTGACTCAACTGTGACCCTTAAGCTCTTCAAGCTTGCTACACACCTATGGTCCACGCTTATAATTAGTAATAATACTGCGAGACAAGAAGCTGACCATCAAGCTAGGCCAATTACACGCACTTAGTAGGTGAGTACTTACGCTTCAAGTGCTTTCTCCTTTTCATCCGGCACATTTGCTTGATGCATGATGAAGTATTTGTTCGCAATGTCGGTAGTGTCATTTCCAGTTTCATTGACAAACTTGGTGACTGGGTAGAACTTGATAATTTCCCGCAACTCAGAAGATTTGTCTTTTAGATACGTTTCAAGGACGGATATAATTGCTGTACTGTCCAATAGTTGCTGAAATTATAAATTATAACAACTAACATATCGAAACGTATCTTCACCTTTATTTGATTTGTTTATAAGATCTCGAAGTAAGTAATAACTTTTTGATAAAATGAGATTAAAAGAAATAATAATATTAGGGTTTAATATTTATAAATGGTATAGATATTGCTAGAGAACCATAATAAATCAGAATCATATATGTACCTGGTAACCACCATCCACTTTTGCAAGCAGTATGGGGACTTTCTTGTATCCTGACCACTTAATAGCCTGCCGAAGCACCGCATCTACCTCTACTATCTCATAACTGATTCCACGAGAATCCAAGTATGATCGGACTTTACAACAGAATGGACATGTCCGGTATTGAAACAGCGTAAGCTGTAGGTTGCTTGTATCCGCATCGTTGATTATCTAAAATAAAAAATATTTTTACAATTTTAGCGTATAAGCAGGTATAAGCACTGCAAACTTCTTACAAATTCCGCAAAGCATTGCTTGTGAATGTATTTTCATAACCTACAAACTATCATCCTGACGCTGTCATTCGAATATTTAATAGCCATGAATCACACAGAATATTGCCGGAACAGAAAATGTACGTACGATTGAAGCGCCACGCTAGTCTATTACAATATAAGAGCTTTCAATTGGTGTTGAACAAACATACACTAATGAATTGATATTGATATTCTTATAGACAAAAAAATATTGTAAAATAATGTTGATAAATTAAGGCTATCTAAGCCAACATAGGTTAGCGTATGTACAGTTAAGTGACTGTTATCTACAAATTCATTTTGAAACCAGATATAATTACACAAATGTGTAACGTTCGCAAATCCGGCACGTTACATTAAGAAAACCCAATGATGTATTTTTGACTTTTTTAAAATGCCCCTACATATCTAGATTACATATCATTCATATACCTTATAAACATTCCTATCTTATAAGATGAGCATAGAACAAATTATTTAGTGCAAAGTAATTAGAAAACAATACATTTTTGGTATGGATAACCACCACCACCCAATTCGCATTGCTCATTGAACCATTCACTGTCGCTACTGAACCGATACAAAACTTTTGTCTATACTTACTTTAAAAAAAAACAATTGTATTCGCATACTTTTTATTTTTCAAATATTTATTCGCTGTGCGCAACAACAACAAGTTAATTTTTAATTCGCTCAATAGCTGAGGCTTTACTTTGCAATGTACGTCAGAACAGATTACGAATTTCACAATTCCCTAGACAATGTATGTTATGCTATGTTAATGTAATTTCTGATAGCTGGCCAGGTTTTTGATTTTAAAACTTACTAATATTATAAATGTCAAAGTTTGTAAGAATGTTTAGATTAGCTTTGTTATTCTTTTACGTAAAAACGGCTCGACAGGTTTGGTTGAAATTTGGTTTGCAGATTTGTTATACCCTGGATTAACACATACGCTGATTTTACAATGCGGAAGAAGTCGCGGGCGAAAGCTAGACCAAACATAATAGAAACAGTTCTTGCCCAAACTGCCTCTCGTGTGTACCATCACTTAGCTGGGCAAAGAATGGGCTGAACTTTTTTTTCTCTTTGAACCCTCTGTTGTACAATGTATATTTACACGTATAACTGCAATGCTTAGGCATTGCAGTTATATTTGGCCAGATTGCTGGTGAGACACGTATTTACCTATTAGTTAAAAGGTGTCTCAATAAGTATAAGAGATACGGTACAGCAGTTAGAAAATGAATAATGTCTAGTCAATCAACGTAATTTAATATATTATGAAGGTTTAGCAAAGAAAATTCAATTATTTTAAGCACATCTTTACAAATGACGGTGAGAGGGAGGGGTGATAATAGACGCCTACGCTATATAATATACAACCCTTAAGGATGTCTTAAGTCACCCCCATAAAACTAGATAATGTGTTTAGATACACTGTTCACAATACCACGCGCTCTCGACGCGACCGGACGGTTACATTATGAAATTAATTTGACCGACTTAACGTAAATGTATCAGATTTAACGCGTATCCCGTGCGAGACGAGACGAGACTTTAAACTTTTTAAGTAAGTGTCTTGTATTGTGCGAACTTACTATTATTTCGTAGTAAAGTAACGAGATGAATTTGCTGAAGCTTTCCGGAAAAAGTGCTTATCATATATACAAAAGTTTTGGAGTTGGCGCCAAAACTTCCTGTAGAACTTTTTAAATCATCTTGACTATGAAAATTACAACCTATCAATAGATTTCCTTATAAAAACATGGATTTAATTGTAATAAATTTACATAATCAAGTTATCGGAACGAGGCATGCTAATTACCGATATTGAGATACAAAAAGTTACTTACTATTGCAATAAATCAATAAGGCGATATTGCACATGCGTAAAGGAAAAAAGTAGAATTGAGAGACAACACCGTAAAATTAACGAAAATATTAAACTGAAGTTCCATGAAAGGTATTATTAAATCAAGTGCAATAACCAACCAACGGTAAGTACCGCGGACCACGATAGGTGTTTATTTACGCTCGCTGTTTACAAACGCCACCAAACATTTTCTCTATCACTTACACGTACTTGTTGAATATAACAACATGATACACACGACCAAATCATGAACCTATTTATTAATGGTTTGCGGTTCCAACAGCTTCACAACAAAACCCACTCACGAGCTGCGAAATTTATTTGTATCGTTTGAATTTCTATGTCTTTTCGATTCAACTGCAGTGTCTAGGTCTTCTGGAAGTCGCCCGAAACCAACTACGCGGAAACCGGTTATGCAACTTTACGCAATATTAAAAATAGACTTTCCAATTACATTACTAGGATTTTATCAAAATATGGAAATACATAACTGTAATAGGATTCAATGTAAACCTAGTGACATCCATTTTGCAATGAATGTAATACATAGTAATCAATAATTTTAACAAGATCTGCCCCTGAATGTTGTTCCATTTTGAATGGTACACTAGGTCTTGGGTTAGTCTACTCCATTACAGGATTTATCAACCCAGAACAACCAAAACTCAATACTAAATGACAGACCAAAGTAAAGGTTAGTGACGGGCTAATACATAGGTGAAAATTGAAAATATGCTTGAATCCTATGTAGACGAAGGTAACATTAAAACTGTAATGGGTGATGTATGTGTTTTATAGTCTGGTCTATTCTATCTTAGTACACGCATCTTTATCTGTAAGATTGTTTCACAAAAATTGAACATTATCATTCAATTTTGAAAACAAATTTCTATAAAATTATTAAAAATTATTATCTAACATGGGTCACCAAATAAATGTCAACCTTTTTGTGTGATAATAGTGTCACAACCATGAACTTGTGTAGCACTTGAACTAAACTGAGGATTTCATCACACACCTGATATGAAAGCATCAAAATAATAGGCTCAATGTTAATAAGGAGCAGTCTTACATATTTATATCTTTTGGTTTTAGTTGTTCCGATGCTTATCCCATAAATCTATAAATGTATTTTATTTTATTTCACATCAAGAATAACTCCCTCAATATTATTACACCTACTGTAACAAGTCTCTTCAAGAGACTTACTTATCAGTCAATCATAGGGTTACTCTTTAATAAGAGTCACTATTTTATACCAAAGTGTAAATAAACAAATAATCTTAACACTTATACAAATAATCACATTCACCGATACTCTAGTCCTTGTAATGCAATAATTTATAGTTGATCCATTTTTAACTAACTAACAAATTGCATTATTGCATATCACTTTTCCAAATAAGTTTAATCTCTAAGTGGTCAATAGGACCTAACATTTTGCGAACTGGCTGATGGTGACAATACAGAGCAACATCATGGCTTTCCAAGTTCAAAATTTAATACAAATGACTGGATAATAGTTAATAGCTTATTATGCAACAAGTGACCTGGAGCTACAGTAGTGATATTGGCAGTCAAATCACTTGGATTAAGACCAATGCGTGAAAGCTTATAATAAAGTAACACGGGTTCACTATATAATTTTGTTTATTTTAAGTCTGCTGTGTATGATATTTCAATATTAAATACAAGTAGAAAGAAGATAAATAATTAAAAGCCTTTGTTTAAATAAAAAGAAATCTGCTCAGTGCTATATTTTATTTTTATTTTAGCTACCTATATATATTGTAAATATCAATTATTTTATAATTTTGTTATGAATTATAAAATTTGTTCTAAGAAATTTCTCTGATTTTTAATTTCATTTAAGCAAGTTCCTTTCATTCCTATCCTTGTCCTGCTATGTTTGGTGTTATTACTTTAAAGCATAATATTAATTTAACATCCCATTTCACCATTTTCGTTTTTACTGGACAAAGTAAACTGGGCCACTTTAAATTTCAATGTCAACTGTACCAGGCTCAATAATCAACAGTCTTCCTAAAATTACAACTAAAAAACATGAAATGTGAATTTCCACTGTTTGTAATTCATTTATTAAAATGTGGCAAATATGAGCTAAGCTTGAAAACAACCTATAAACAAGGACCCTCTATCACCAGAGTCCTCTATCAAGTCCAGAAATATCAGAATATACCATAGTCAAGGACAATTATTATTTTTTATTTTACATAGGTTTTGTACTTATTATATCATTTATTCATATCTCATTATTTTGAAATTTATGCACTGACTAACACAAAATGTTTTGCAAGATATGCAAATCTTCAACATACATAGATAAGTAAGCAATGGTATCTGTAAAAAACAATCTATGTCTTTCACATATACTATAGAACTCTAGGTTCAACTATGACACAGTAATGCTGGCAGCATTGAAATTCGTATGAAACCAGCCCAGTTGTTTGTTCATGTGCTTCAGTTGTAAACATGACAGTTTAGGTTAGGATTCATAGGGAATATTTTACTTTTACTCAGTTTGTTGCTTCTATTCTTAAACACTATGAAACATGTTTATATTTCTTTACATATTTCAGTTTATTCAACTACATATTTATTTATTTTACCTTTAAGATACATGATTATTACGAAAAGTATATCTTTTAAATGAAACAGATCTAGCGAAAGCATTAACATTTTCAACAAAATTAAACTCTAATAATTATAATAAAAAGTGTTTTTTTTTTTCAATTCGTTCGTAATCAAAAATGTACTTTTGTCAAACCTTAATACCAAGGTGACGACGTGAATGCGTGAAATTTAATTTGGGTCCTCTTATGTATTGGACAATAAATTGTTAGCTGTTTAACTAGTTAGTTTTAGTATAAACCCAAACATTAATCTGCGCACAGCGGGTGAGGGCGCGGTCACTTGAATGTTATATAAAAGCTCGAAATTTTAATACTTGATCAAAGTATGCATAAACAATGTGGTCTTACTTTGTAATGAGCTGCATACTCTGGAGCTTCTTTCAAAAATGCGTACTCCTCAGTCTCACCAGGTTTGAAAGTCTTTTTAACGTTCACTTTATAATGCGTGTAACCTCCATAACCTGCGCCGACGAGAACACCGATACTAGCACTAACAAGGGTTAACTTTGATGTCGACTTTGGAAGCCGGCTTTTAGTAGAAAAAAGAATTTTTGTGACATTTAAATTATCTCTGAGCGAAGGCAAGACTACTTTCTGTAAGATCGTGAAAGTCGGCCTCCACATTATGTTACCAATTAGTAATTTGACCACATGAAAACAAAATACGCTATAGATAGGCACATAGACGAGCTATGTATGTGCAATACTATTTTGCCTTGTCGGTGCCTCGTTCACTGGGCAGGCAGGAAAGCAAATGTCTATTCTCTATGGTTTATTGTTACAGATAATGTAAAAGGCTAATTATTATTCGATTATTTTATCATTTCGATTATCTTAATCTATATTGATTTTTAGATTATTTTTAGATTTAGATTGAATTAAGTCGGTATTCAAGGCTAAATAAAACAAGAAATTGTACTCTGAATCATTCTGAGCCTATCGAGACATGAAGAGATATGACAACGAAAAAAGGCTTTTAAAATGTAAAGCTTTTTAGCCGTAAAGATAGGTTAGATAGATATAAAATACATATAGATTTATTCTACCATTGTATCATCAATGTTTAATATCAAGACAAATCATCAATGTTCTTTATTTATTGTATTACTAATCACAAATGTCACAAATCTCGAGAACGACTGAACCAATGCCGATGATTTTTATATTAAGATATTTTTTATACTGCTAGGAAGGTTCTGTACAAAGACATTTTAGAAAGTAGAGAGAGCAATCAGGAATTAGTGGAGCAGGAACTGAAAAAAATTAAAATAGCTACAAATACAACTATGTAAACCAAAACCAAATGTTTTTTTCAGACCCTTCCGGAGTTATGGATCCCAGTGATCCCTTATTTAAAAAGCCCACTTCAAAGCGGAAGAAGCGAAAGAAAAGCTCGTATGACGATGAGGAGGTTCTTACCTGGGTAAAAATATAATTTTATTAACGCATATTATTTTACTGCCCTTGCTCGGTCATCAATATGATGACGATGAGAGCGAGGGCCGAGGTATATGTCTCGTTACCTATTTACATTTCTCCCTCAAATAATATGTATGGGTAAATATATTCGATTTTTTTCACAGTTAAGTGCAAATTTTTCATATTTTGCTTTTGACAGAAATAATTCGCTACAGTAGAATATAAAAGCAATAAATGCAAGCATTTGAATACATTTTACGTAGATAGCAGTTAATACAATAAATAAGATGGTAAATGTTAAAGCATTATCTCAGTTTTTAACATTATTGATCGACATTTATTTATTTATTTATTACATGAACATGATGCCGTTAGCATTCTAAAATTGACTTCTTCGATTAATCGAATAAAATCGATTACAAATATTTATCATAGACAACATTGTATTCACAACAGTAATTTTCCCGTCTCGGTTTGTCGCTATGTCTGTTGTAGTTATACCAGATATTCAGTGATTATGATTACCTTCTAGCTGATTAACTAGACTTTTGAGAAATTGTAATATGCTATGTTTTATTATTTTATTTTTTCGCCAGTGACAATAAACCACTAGTGTTTACTTATGTTTTAAACGCGGTAGCTTACCTCTGGCGCCATAAGTAAGGTAATTGTCGATCACATCTTCATCTATGATATTGGCGCGTTAGTGATTCCGAAATTTTATCAAAGTGTTATAAACTGCGCAGTGTCCAGTAATGGTTGTTAAATGTTTAGCGCCGGGGTTATGCCCGAAGCATGCCATCGACGTCGCGGTCGAGGGGCTCCGGGCGCGGGCCGGACGGCGCGCCACGGCCCCAAGTCATAGCGCCCATGTCGGAGCGGCAGCAGCTCGCTCTTGTGATGCAAATTTCATCACAAGATGCCCCTCCAGGTTTGATACCACTTATCGCCATAAAATTAGAAGTGTTATTGCTGAGCGTAGATCTGACTTCCCGCCATTTCCGTATTCAGCCGCTCCGACCCCAGCAGAAGAACGAAAAAGAACTAGGCAGCAACGTAATGAGCGCGGTGAGACACCCCTGCATGTAGCAGCTATCAGAGGCGACCACGATCAAGTTAAGAAATTGCTTGATCAAGGACAAGATCCCGATGTCCCTGATTTTGCTGGTAACATATTATGATTACTTTTTTTATTTAAATGGTCAATGTTCTATTAGTTTCCTCCATTTTATCCATGTTTCTACTTTCTGGCTTCAAATTACTAGTATGACATTTTTTTTGCTTCTGTGAAAACAAGGATATATGTTTTACAAACTATTTGATGTTGAATTTTCAAAGTCAATGTTTGTTGTCATTCACTCACATTGTATTGATGTTTAGTTCATATTTGTTTACATGTACACAGATAGATATATAAACAATAAACCACAATTAAGTTCAAGCTAAACAAAACCATGAGTGAAGCTTCTATAATGATGAATGTAAAACCATAATTAGTAAATGTTTATTCAAATGTAAGCTTGAATTTAAATATGTTGTGATGAATCCTCCCCTTGCACAAGCATGATTAGTTTGTATGGGGTGGTTAACAAGTTATCCAGTAAATGTTATAAACATTTCTAGCATACATATACTGTTTACAAAGAAATCACTACAAGAAAGAAATATATTTTAATCATCGGTGGTCTATAGGTGGTTTGAACATCAATTATGTTATTTATTGTTGTGACTCTCTTTTTTATTTAAGTGTGATAGGGATTAACATACCACTCTACAGGTAGCAAAATTTTAGCAAGTGTCAACATTACATCATCAAAAGGAATAGCTTATTTGGCTTGAGCAGATTTATAATACTAAATCAAATTTTAAATCAATAGGGTGGACACCACTTCATGAAGCTTGCAGTTATGGGTGGTATCAAGTTGTAGTGGTACTTGTAAATGGTGGTGCTAATGTCAATGCAAAAGGTTTAGATGATGATACTCCTTTACATGATGCCACAACTTCTGGCAATCTGAAAATGGTCAAATTCCTCATTGAACATGGAGCCGATCCATTTGTCAAGAACACCAAAGGGAAAATGCCATCAGATTATGCTGCACCGCACATCTTTGAATATCTACAGTCTTTGAAAGGTATGTTTTCCTAATTCCAAGTACTATATTTTAATTAAATTGTCTAGTATTGATTAAAATTTATGGATATATACAAACTATATCCAGGGCAGTATACACGGAACAGATGCTTCTATTAATCTGAAATATAAAATTCACAAAACATGTAGTAAATTTGTATTTTTGATTAGTCTCTTTTTGTATCTTTAATAAATCAATCAATTCAATTTTAATTTGTACTAGACAATGTAAAAATAATATGATTTTGCTTTTATAGGGACTTGTTAACACAATTCCTCAGAGTATAAAAAAACTATAAATGTGTATGGGTGATAATATGGTAAAACAAGTATTTTACACAATTGATAATGGTTTATTTGGAGAAATGAAGAACTAGTCATGCTTGTCTCAATCACACTAAATGTTTGCTTCATAAAATTAGAAGCTTTGATTACATACTTATGCTGCTGACTATTCTTCTCATTTTGATCATTTACTGTTGTATGTGTTAAAGCTGAGCATGTTGTGTGTAGCTAGTGCTAGTCATACAAGCTAATGCAATAGTTATATAGGGTGAGAAAGTATCAAGATGTTGTTTTGATAATTTCAGCCCTTTTGTTTATGCATGATGATTGTGATACTAGTATTATGTAGCTATATTAGTATTAATTATATAGATATTTAGTGTTAAAATATGGTGTGTTAAAATAGTAAGAATAACCATTTGCTTAACTGGTAAGTTTGACACTTTACTTTTTACAGTTTATTGAATTTAACATGACTAACCCAATATAACCAACATTAGCGATTACCTTAAGTTAAATTATCCAAAATTTACAATCTGAATTTATATTAATTACTAGAATGCTCCCCTGTGATTAACAGAATGAAGTTTTTGTTTTTGATACACTCTAAACGAACGACAACTCTAAAAATATTTGAACAAAACACTACTACTACAAAAAATAAAGGAAATATATTTTTAAAAATTCTAGTCTCTCCAGCTTCACACGAGTACATAGTCTTCCATCCTTGTTGTTTGTCATACATTGGGTACATTCTTTTTCTTCACCTTCGGTCTTTGTAAGAACCTTATCTTGATGAATACTAATAAGAATATGAAATCTATTCAATTGTGACCCAGTTGGCTTAAATCCTACAAAGGTGTATTAGAGAAATCATTGAGTCTGACATGTAATCACTAAAACTATCTACAGTCATAAATATTAGGCTAGCAATAGCCAATCTGCCTTATACTGATGTGTTATACCTACTTTCGAGTACATTTTGTTATCGCTATTTTTACCGTTGTTACAAGTTTTTACTTAATTTGAGTGTGGGTATGTTCTTTGTCCACCTGTGTTTTATCTTTTTATGCTCGTAAATAATAGTTGTGATATTTCTGTCCCACACAAAACAAATTAATGGCATTATTGTGCACATTTTCTAATTCAAATTTTTCAATTTTATTTTTTAGAGTGTGTTATTCTATGAAAACCTATTGTGGTCTAGACATCATCTTCTTCTTATATATAAAAATGGATCGCAAAATGTGTTGTAAGCGCATAACTCAACAACGCCTGGACCAATTTTGCTAATTCTTTTTTTGTTGTATTTGTTATTGTCAGGAGAAGGTTCTTATCAAAAAAAATATTAGAAAAGTAGAGGGGAAGATTAGGAAAAAGTGACCCTTTGATAGCGAGATAGTTAGACCCGTGCGAAGCGGGGGCGGGCCGCTAGTCTTCTTATATATAAAAATGGATCGCAAAATGTGTTGGTAAGCGCATAACTCAAGAACGCCTGGACCAATTTTGCTAATTCTTTTTTTGTTGTGTTTGTTATTGTCAGGAGAAGGTTCTTATCAAGAAAATATTAGAAAAGTAGAGGGTATGATTAGGAAAAAGTGTCCCTTTGATAGCGAGATAGTAGGACTCGTGCGAAGCGGGGACGGGCCGCTAGTGTTTAATAAATATGGTTAAATCTGGAAGTCTGGATCAAGGGAAGTTTATTCTTTCAACCTAGTTGAAACTAGCTTCTATTGTTAAAAGTTTCTAGATAATCAGGTATTGTCATAATGTGATCTACATTATTAGATTGTTTTTTGACATTGTACAAGAGTTGGTGCTATTTCTGAACCATAAAATTAAGCACAGACAGAAAATGCGAGTTGCGAGTAGTAGTGATGGGTTTAATTTTCAAATGATACAAATACATTCAAATTTTTCGAAAAATGA